TTATTTGAATATTCCACCGACTTTTTAATCAGTTCCTTATATCCTCAGTAAATCAAGTTTTGTTACTCCACAGGTTTCCTCATTAAATGAGTCCAACAAAGCTTAGAAACAAGCTCTCTATGTGCATATTTTTAATAATACGAGGATTAGTCTTGGGGAGTTCCTGGCCCCACCAATCAAATCTGCTCCGAGAGACTGAGCTCTGCGCTTCAGGTCTCCTTAGCAGTCAGACTCACCAAGACTCAGGGTAGTCCGTTCACTGAGCACTGCATGCTGCAGACAAGAGGCTCAAAGTATATGCACCTCCCCACCCCCGCATGGATGCACCACCTTTCTTTTTGGCTTCGTTTTGGTTTTGCTTTTTGAAACAGGGTTTCTCTGGTCATTCAGGAACTCGCTCTGTAGACCAGGTTGGCCTTGAACTCACAGAGATTCACCTACCTCTGTATCCCAAGTACTGGGATTAAAGGCCATGCGCCACCAACCTCCAGCTGCCCCGGCTTTCTTTAAACAGAAAAAAAAAGAAACCCTACCAATTGAAATCATGGTGGCATTTCCACTCCTACAAGTATATTATATACATATGAAATGAGTACTTGTGTCCATAGAATACACACAAGAATGTCAAAAAATCCCCAAAGGAAACAACCCAAATAGCTATCAATCAACAGCAACAACAACAACAAAATGGATTGACAAGTTATGATATATTCATTTCTGTGCAATTCTATATGCCAAGAGTTAAGTGCTGAAACAGGCAACAATTTTGTGACATAAAACAGACATGTAAACTAGCAAATGTTCCTACAGCCCTATATACATGCAGTTAAGGTATGGGAACACTAATTCATCACAATAAACTGACTATGTAGGTCGGGGGGGGATGTCTAGGAGAAAGCAAGAGAACTTTGTGGGGTGAGAGATGGCAGAAATAGTACAGCTAGAGACAGTGGCTATAGAGGTACATTCTTATAAAAAAGCAAAAATCATAATGCATGCTAGTGACATGCATTTTCATCTATGTAAAATTTATCTGTAAAGTGAATTTAAATTTTTTGAAGAGAGACAAGATAAAGAAAGACATATTCTAAAGCAGTCAGTGTGTGGTGATTGATACAGAGACCCAGAAGTGATCAACATGCTGAGTCCAGTAAGAGGCTAGAGTGCTCGGCCCCCAATGGGGCATCTACTATCACATTCCCGACCTCCAAGGCTTAGGGATCCTTCTGGAAGAGGAGCAGAGAGACTACAAGAGCCAGCAGTAGTGGACATCTGAAGCAAAATAATATTTGCCAGACATGACAACACCATTCTACACATGAACTCAAAGCAGCCATGACTGCATATACAAGATCAAGGGAATCTGAATACCAGCATGGATGGGGTTGGGCTCATTAACTCCCACCCTATTTAACATATTAGCCAGTGGTGGCTGCTGAGGGAAGTAGAGGGGGTTTGCTTCAGGGATTTTTGTCCCGAGGATCATGCCGCCAATAGTAAATGGATTCCATAATTTTCAAAAACAGCTGGGCAATGGTGGCATATGCCTTTAATGCCAGCACTTGGGAAGCAGAGCCAGAGGCAGGTGGATCTCTGTGAGTTCGAGGCCAGCCTGAACTACAAAGCAAGTTCCAGGACAGCCAAGGCTATACAGTGAAACTCTGTCTTGAAAAGGCAAAGAGAAAGAAGAGAGAGAGAGAGAGAGAGAGAGAGAGAGAGAGAGAGAGAGAGAGATCCTATGAAGTTTGGAGGAGAAAGTAGCTAGGAAAGGAATTGATGGGGAGGGAACGGGAGTGCTGATTTGATCCAAATATCACATCTTGTATGAAATTCTCAAACAATAAAAGAGAGTATAAGAAGAAAAGGTGGGGAAAGAGAGGGAAAAGAGAAGAAGGATTTGAAAAGATTCTTCTAAAATATTTAATGTAAATTGATAAAACCAGATTAATAAAAGTGGGACAAAATTTTTAAAAAACTACTGAGAACTGGCAAAGGACAGGTTGTTCTTAATAATGGAATGGGTAAGGATACACCACACCAAGAGGGTGGTAGAGATTCTTGCTTGAGAGACTGACACAGTGAGGCGAAGGTGATCACTGGATGCCATTCCTTTAGGAGGGTGGGTTCAAACGGGCACTAGGGATTTGATAAATGGGCTGAGAAAAAAACACTGCAGGCAGCTCTCTGATAGCATCAACAGAGGCACACAAACAAATGATGGGACTCCACAAAATTACTTAATTCAGTCCAAGACAAATTAATTCTTAAGCTAAATGAAATATTCAAAACTGGCAGATGTATGCCAATATGATTGTTATTGCTTAAAAACACATTTTCTTTTTAAAATTCGCTGTGGGAGCTTTGATTGTTGTTAAACTCCGTTGTATCCACCTACTGAGTTTTCAATAATAAGCCTAAGGGTGAAGACTTAAAAAAAAAATGACTCAGCCATCTGAAAGAATCGAAGTTTCCCTAGATTGTGACAGCCACAGGCAGTGCTGTCCCTAGACACCATGGATGGACCAAGCACCTCCTAAGAATGTGACTTCTCCTTTCTCCTCTCCGAACAAGGGCTCAAGCCTAGGTTATGGGACAACTGATTAGGAAGAACAAGGGTAGTGGGTCGTTCCTTCTCATGGTAACAGGACAGAAGGCATACTTGCTGGATGGCTGCCACTGTGATCCGTGATTGCCAGTACTGGGCCTGCCATTTAGTCCTCAGGGCAGACAACGAGGGGGTGGGCTTGCAGAATAGAAAACAGCAGGCTCAGGTCAACCTGGAGCCAGATCTTTTTCACACGGGACGTATAGAAAAACCTTAACAGTACTAAAGGGCTAAGGACAAAGCCCCCAGAAGGCATAGATGAGAGGACTAGATGGGAGCAGCCACTTCTCTGGTAAGGGATACAGGCAGCCCAGGGCCACCAGAAAGGTAGGAGACTAAGGAATAGTCCCAGACCTCTGTGACCCTCCTCCCTGCTGTCTCACCCTAGCACACCCTGGAGCCAGAGCCCCTCACATGCAGTTGAGTATCCCCAAGTCTAAGTCAAGGCAGCAAGACCAGTCAGTCAATGAAGGATGCCCTGGCAAAAGGCCCATAGGACTCTCTCACAGGGGAAGCACCTTCTGTTCTCGAGGCCAGCAGCACTGCCAACGAGAAGAGACTCTGGAGAGTTGCTGCCCTATTTCCCATCTCCCTTCCATAAATCCTCGGAGCACATCAAGAGTGAGCCCCAAACCAATTCTATAGGTATGCCCCATGCCTTCCCATTCAGTTCTATGAATCTGAGATTTGAAGTGCCGGGGCACTAGGCCAACAGAGACACATTAAACACTTTCAGAACAGAACTAGCCCTCTACACTTGAAGCTCACACTGCAGTCTTTTCTTCCCATGCTCCTCCTCTTTTCCCTGCCCCACCTCTTTCTCACACTCCTCCCTTTTCCAAGGCTCACTCTCTTTGCCATACCCTTTACTCCTGCCCCTTCACCTTCACCCCAACCGCTGCCCTCTCCCTTGGGAAACTTCTTACACATTCAACTTTGGCCTAACTTCAAAATCACTCCTTTTCCAAAGTGGGAAGTTTTGTCTAGAAAGGTACAAGCGTCACCTCTCATATACCTATCAACAGAATCGATCAGCGTGAGCCCAGAAGTTGTGCTTTTCTACCCTAAGAATGGGAGGAAGCCCCTTGATTCCAGCATGATCTCATCATTCCTACCACAGAAAGCAAAGGAATGTTTATCAGTGTATTTCCAGTTGACCTCTGTCCCATTCCCCCAGCTTTCTGAACACCAAAGGCAACGAAAAAAAAGAGAGAGAGAGAGAGAGAGAGAGAGAGAGAGAGAGAGAGAGAGAGAGAGGCTGTCAGGGTCATTTGGAGGCAAAGACCCTGAGGAAAAACTACACTAGGGTCATTTTAGAGTCCCACGGGATAGAGGTACAGGCCCAAGTACTGGAATTGTACAGCTCGTCATATGCTTTTTCACCAGTACCCCATTGTAACACCTTCCCACCACCCTTGAAGCCCCTTTGAGGGGGACACTCAATTCTCCGGGTCCAAGATCATAAAACCTTCCCACCCAGCCCTTGAAGCTCCTTTGAGGGGAACACACAATTCTCTGGGTCCAAGATTTCTCAAACATCCTGTTCTATAAGGCCAAGACACACTCCTGAATACAGTCTGCTACCACAGGGAATTCAGCTATAGGCCCTGGGATTCTACATGAAGCTCTTCCTACTGAGGGCAATCACTTCTTCTCCAGCATGGGACAGGAAGCTCATGCTACTGGGTCTTTTAGACCTGGTTAGTATTTCCCATGAGGAACAGCCTCCACGCAACCTCTCCTTAACCCCCAAATCCACACTGCTGTTTATAATGGTTGAGATACATCGTTTATTAACAGGAAAGAAAAATATTTTTCGAATTAAGCCCTAAATGAGTTTGACAATGGGCACAGGTTTCAAAATCGTCTTTATGAAACAGGTTTTATTCAATGCTTCATAGACACAAGGAGGTAAAGGAAAGCAATGGAACTCCTATCAGAAAGGCATATCTATGAGGAGAAAGCAGAAAAGAGCATCATTTAGATTCTGCATTTGAGCTGGAGGCTACCTATGCAAATGGCCAAAACTGAGTTTCAAATTCCATTTTGCACGGAACGGAAAAGGGAATAATCTTTCAAACTCTTAAAGCAAATAAACAAATATCTAGACCAAACAATTTCACAGGCTTTATATTTTCTCAGTATTTTCTAAAAAGTAATAAACCAGTTGTGGAAAAGATCATTCTGGGTCTTAAAATGTCATCTTAAAACAGATGATATCCTACATGCACAGAGCAAAATTACACATGCTCTCCTTGACATCCCCCAGGAGATCAGGCTGCCGTTGACAGCCCTAAGAGCCCTGTGCACTTTATCCTCATCCCCCCCCCCCCCAGCCTTTTGGTCTGCAAAGCCCACACAGGAAACAGGAAAAATGGTTTGGCTTTGTACTCACTCTTACAAAGTTGTCAGGGAACAAACCTCTCCTGCCGTTGATCTGCCCCTCCCACCAGCCTCCATCCTCCTTCCTGATGTTGGTGATGACCTCACCCACGCTGATCGTCAGCTCATCGTCGTGCTGGGCCTGGTAATCAAACTCCACTATGGCCTCCACTGGAAGGAAAAGAAACCAAAAGAGCAACTTAAGGTTAACTGTTGTAGAAGTCTGAGCTCCAGCATCCCTGCAAGACCAATAAAGTCAGATTAACGGGACTTCCCCCTTAGAAATAGTTAAAATAACAGGCAACCTGATTTTGGTTAACCTGAAGCCCATATAACACAGAAACCACGAAGTACTGGTCGTGGTCAGACACAGGCAGGGTGGCCTACAATTCGGTGTCAGGGCCAACAGGGGCTTCAGAAGGGAAACCACACAGTGACAGTGGCCTAACAACACTTACCCAATACACAGGGTATGTGGCATCACTTCTCCAAGCGCAGAGACCAAAGACCACAAACAAGAAACATTGAGTCTTTGGGCCTTTCTTCACCTGACCAGAGATAACTAACCCTGGGGTGTTAAAGTCCTTGGACATCAGTTGTGCAAAATATGAACTATAATTCCCATGTTACAGAAATGATGGCTATCACTCATGACAACATACAGAAGTAAAGACACATGAAGCAGAGGGCTCCCCTGGTTGAACTAATGTCTCAGACTGCCCACATCAGAAGCAATGCTGCCCCAACGGATGAGCTCAGAGGCAGTTGTAGCAGGTTACACTATCTTTTCAGGGGCAGAGAAACTATCCATCACACTGGGCACAGGCAGAGGCAACAGATGAGGAGCTCTTTTGTGGACAAAGTACCAATGCATTTTGGCACAAGTTAACCAGAGATTGGTTAATTTACTCATAGAAAAGTTACAAGATTCCTTTAGACTCTGGGGTCTTCTTTGTGTACCTCAATATAAACCAACATCAAAATCTGTCTTTTTTTTCTATTTGCAACTTCATATGAATGAATGAATGAATGAATGAATGAATACAGAGATGGTTAAAATTAGATGAAACTCCAAGTGGAAAACAAGCAACTTACAAGTTATGATAAAATACAGGAAAAGCTAAACGAGCTAAATATGCATTGTAAACATTAATTTGAACACCCAAAATGCATCCTTTTTCTTTGGGGCTTGCTTGTGATGTTTTATTAATGTGTAATAGTCATGCACATTAATGGGGCACCATGTGATATTACAACTCACGCACAGAGCCTGCACTTATCAAACCAGGGCAATTAGCACTTTCATTTCCCTGTCATTTCTTTTTGTAGACTTTGAGTTCCCATTTGGGGGACCTAAGAAAGCAAGAGAGAAAAATCTTAATAACCTTGGTTTTGGAAAAATATTTTTTAAATAGAAAACGAAAAGGTACAAATGGTTCAAAATAAATTCAGTACACTAAGGTGACTTTTCTGGGAAGAAAGGCCAGTAGGGGGATGGGTCCGCATCACAGGGCTTTCCGTTTCTATGAGAGGTGAAGCTCGCATTGCACTTCTGGTTCAGAATAGCCTGTCCTCCAGACCACTCAGGAGGACAACTAATCCAGTCAGTAAACTAATACAGCAACTCGAAGTAGAACTGCCTTTTCCTAGATCAGTGTTTCATTCCAGTCAATTACTGCGCTCTCATGTCCTAAATCTGCTCAGGATGACGTTGTTTTGCAACTTCCTGTCACCACTTACCCACGGAAAAGAGGATTATGAGAGCATATACAAGGACGCCCTTCCTGCTTTCTCATGGTTCTGACAAGTACGCATGCAGGAACACTTCAGTTTCCTCTGTACCATGCCCTGATCCCTAATTGTTCAAATGAGCCATGATCTCAGTGGCAAAGTGCTTCCTGTACAAGGCCAAAGATCTGAGTTCGAATCCCCAGAACCCACATAAAGCCAATCAAGGAAGTATGCAGGAGGGAGAAACAGGAGAATCCCGGGAAGCTCATGAGTCACTTAGCCTGGCATACACAAGTGGCAAATAACAACAACAAAAAAGTGGCGTTGTTTCAAAACAAGGTGGAAACTGAGGAAGGACACCCAAGGGTGTCCTATGACCTTCACGCATCTGAACTCACAAACACAAATGTATGCATACATTTACATCATACACACACACGCACACACACACATACACGGTGAGAGTTAAAAATGAGCCATCATAAAACTCAATTTAAAAATAGCTAGGTCCAATGAGATAAATCTGTCACACCAGCTACTCAGGAGGATGAGGTAGGAGGATTGTAAAACCAAATGTCTGTTTGGGCTGTAAAGCAAGTTCAAGGCCACTCTGCTCAACTTAGTGAGACCTTGTCTCACAAAGAAAAGAAAAAAATGGAAATCCGTTTTCAGCTAGGTGTGGTGACACATTCATATAGCACCAGCTACTTGGGGCTAAGGATAGAGGCCCAACAGTTCATCTAGCCTGGGCTACATTTGGAGACCCTCATATCAATTTCTTCTCAAAAGCTTACTTTAAATAGAGATTGATCTATTGAAACAGAGATTATAGTAACCTTTGTTCACATACCGGACCCTAAATTATCTCATTTCTCAGTTAAATACTTTGATGCCCATCTTCCCAAGATACCCGAGGCTCATTTTCAGGGATGTTTCCCAGTGTGAGACACACCCACCTCGGGGATCTGCTGAGGTGATGCTTGGAGGGCAAAGTTCAAATTCCTGTTCATATTAATTCTAAAAAGAGAAAGTGCCAACTTCCATACCATTCCACTTCCAGAACGGCCCTGGATCTTCATCTGGTCTCTTGTCAGACAGGCAGAGGCCTCTAAGGGCAGAGTGTAGCTCAACAGCCAGGAGAAGCAAGGAGTGCTGGGCAAGGAACCCAAGCTAGGAAGCTCTTCTAGTGCACACACCAGCTCCAGTGTGTGGGGGGGGTGCACCCACAGCTCTGCGGTACCTATGCCTTCTGACGAGTCTCACCTCTTTGAACTAAAATCACCCTCGCTAACTGGCTAAGTAGCTTGTAAGATCTGCATGGTGCCGAAGCTGTAGACTATTCAACTCGAGGCCGTGGAAACAGGAAAATATGGAACTGCCACTTCGGCTTCTGGTGAGAACTCTGTGACTGCCCTGTTTAGAGATGATTGGCAGTTCAGGCCAATCACAACCTACAGGGAAATGACCAAATGACTCTCCGTGAGCATCAAGGAAACTGGGATGTGAGCTTATGCCCTCGATGACAGAGCTATAAATGTTGGGCTATTCCGAGATTAATAACATTTCAAAACTAAGTGTTTGACCCTTGAAGGAAAGAGCCTTGCTTTTCCTCCAATTGTCTATGGCCATACGAAACTCTTTTGCTTGTTTCCCAAACGCTGGCTGTCCCTAAGAAGATTAGAGCTCCTCACACAGGAATATCCAGTCACCTGTCATGTAAATTTGGTCAATGAACCACATACATGATAATGGAGATATGAAAAACTTGTATCATCCATGATCTCACAGTCACCTGTGTGTGCATATGCTGATGTTCTAACAATGTAACACATCACATAAAAATGTATCCCTGACAAAATTTTTAGATACCCACACAATATTGTTTGGAAAAGAAACGAGGGAGTTGGAGAGACGGCTCAGTGGCTAAAAGCACTCACTGCTCTTCCAGAGGACCCTGGCTCAATTCCTTGCACTCACATGATGGCACACAGACCTCTGCAACTCGTTTCACATTCTTCTGACACAAGGCACACATGGTGCACATGCCTGCATGTATGCAAACACACATAGACATAAAATAAGATGTGTAAGTGAAAGAATGAAGAAAGAAACAAGGTCTGGGAACATGGCTCACCTAGCATGCTTGAGGTCCTAAGTTCAACTCTCAGCCTCACAAGAAACCAAAACCATGGGGCATGAACTCAGGCTCCCCAAAACAGATCCCATTAGACAAGGAAAGGGCAACTCTCAAATTTTCTGATAGGAAACATGAAAATGTTGGGTAAGGGCAAACTGATAGAACCCAAATCCAGGTGTGTCTTCAGGAGAGGGTGGGAGAACAAGGAAATGCTCTAAAGAGGTAAAGGGAGCTGTTTCCTGGTTAACTTCGATCCTGTAATCTTTCAGGAACTCTGGCGGGACCAACGTGTGGAACACAGCCTTGCTTCTTCCTTCCTAAACAAGTCATATCTTCCGACTCTCTACCTGAACTTGAGCAAAGCAAAGCTAAAAAGAAAACTAGTAGAGTCAGCTTCAAGTAGATGGCTACTAAGAAGTGAACAGCTGCTGCCTGGCGTATTATGCCAAGTCAGGGAGAAAAGCATCCCGGCTTCTCTTCCCTCTCTCTTTCCATGTGCCCACTCTGCATGGTGAAGCTGGCCGCGCTGGTCTGGGGATGCTGAGAGTGTAACTGCACTGTCCGAGTCCTCTTCCCAGCAGAGTCCCCAGCTGCTCGCTCTGTAATGCACTCTTGCGCTAGGCTCACAGCTGAAAGGAAATGGTTCCCAGATCAAACAGAATTGAACCTCCTCTTTAACCTTAGGAAATTATATGTACCCTCCCTGCTTTCTAGCCTCAGAGGGTCCCTGGCCCTCCTCCAAACCACATCCCTAGCTTCTCTAGCCTCCCTGGCTCTGCCACCGAGTTCAGCTTCTGCTGCGGTGAGTTCTCCTAGCGAGGTTCTAAATGCTTGCTGGGCTTGAATCACCCTGAGTTTGTTCTACTGTGAGCATCCGGGGGCATTCAGTTTCAGTAGGCTCTCAATGCAGACTTGAGAATCCAACCACTGAGCTTACATTCTATATTGATGGTTTCTGCCCAACAAAGACACCTCTAAAATGTCAAGTGCCAATCTCATTTCTGCAAATTGAGTCATATTGTTCAGAGCGCTAAGGGAGTCTGCTATTTAAAAGAACCTGCGGTTAATTCTTTTGTGACATGAATAATCACTTCCTGCTTTACCTTTCCTGTCGAGATCATTTTTTTTACAGATCAGGTTTCTCTTAAGGTAAGAAAGATGTGCATGATTTCTTTGTTAAGAACGCCTAAGTCATGAGCTATGTCTCTCTTCCTCCCTTTCAAAGGTTTAGGACTTTTCTTTCCAATGTAATGGCACAGTTACAGGGGCTACATGTGCCATGAAAGTATAACAAGGGGCTGGA